AGGTGGGCGGAGGCTGGCAAAGGCGGGCGGAGGAGGTGGCGGGCAGAGGTGGGCGGAGGCGGAACGAGAAGTGGGCTGAGGCCTGTCTCTTATACACATCTAGATGTGTATAAGAGACAGGTCCTTGGTCATTACACGGTCGGGCTCCCAGGAAAGTAGGGTAATCCGGGCAGCCTGACTGGTAGCCTAGCTTAAGACATGTCATTCCACTTTAAAATTTTATGACTAACTTGAAAAATATCCTTTCAAAAATGGGGTATCCTTCTTGTTTGAACTGCATGGTAAAGACGGAACAAAACTCTACATGAGTTCATGAATTTTATAAATTTTGCTATCATTCTATTATAAAGAGTTTAAGAGAGAGAGAATGAGGGGATCGGGGCTATTTAGGGTTCAATGGTATTGGATGATAAAAGTTTAGAAGTCGGCAACTTCCAGGTCCCAGGTCCAACAAGACTCATCAACATTAAAAAATAACATTACTGGTAAGTGGAGGTGACGTGTTTTCCATTTTAAGTAAGTTTTGTGGAAAGAGCGCGAGAGAGAGAGAGAAAGAGAAAGAGAGAGTGAGAGAGTCCGCTAATACGCAGGAAGGATAATAGTGGGTTGTCGAGGAGGCTAAAAAATATTTAAAAAAAATTGAACAAGGTAAATTGACATAAAATGTATATAATAAATATGAGAAAAGTAAGAATTATTGCTTATATTAGCTTATAAGCTAGGTATAAAATATGAAGATCCCACAAACTAATTTTATCCGGGATTTTCAATCCAGATTAATTTCGGACATCAAAAATTCGACTTGCGCAAAATACGTTTTTTTAACTGAAAAATAAAATAAAAAAATATAAAAAGTGTGTTGTTTATATTAATGATACGAACAACTTTTGGCTTGATGTCATTTTTGATATCTAAGTAGATATGAAGATTAAAAAAAAAAACAAAAAAAACAAAGATATAAAATTACAAAATAAACTAAGCATTCCCCCTTTAAGTCTCATTATTCCCTCTCTCAACCCCTTTGAACCCTTTCATAACCCATCAAACTTTTTATGAAATAGAAATGTAGTTTTATTGTATTTGCATACGCAATATCACTTTTTTGTTTATTTTTACTTTTTTTTATTATTCGGATTTCTAGACAATCCAACCCGTGACAATCCAGCCAGATAATCCGACAAGATTATCCGGCAAGATAACCCGGGCTACATAGGTTATAAGGGTGATGTTGTAGTATATAAACATGTTGACTAAACATAAAATAATGCAACAAAAAAAACATAAAATTAAATAATAATTTTATAATAAATATGCATTATAATATTAAAATTTTCATTTCATCTTAAAACATGTTATTCCACTTTTAAATTCCTCGTCTTACTTAAAAAATATCCTTTCAATAATAGACTATCCTTCTTGTTTGAACTATATGCTAGAGACGAAATGAGATTTTATATAAGTTTATGAATTTTTTAAACTCGACTACTATTCAATTGTAAGCTAGGTTGTTTTTCTGGGCGCCCGGGCACCCAACTTGTACCCGGATACACGCCCGGGTCCCCCGGGCAGGGTTCCGGGAAGCCCCAACGTAAAAAAAAAAAAAAAAAAAAAAAAAAAAAA